GTAGACTCAGCGCCCCCAAGATGCAATGGGTCCTGGTCTCCTTAGTCATCACTGCCCTTCCCTTGTTGTATGTATTATAGACCCTGTTATGTTGTCACTTTGTTGTTTTTATTCCATTAAACCACCTTTTTTGTACTAGCACCTGGGTCAGCCATCTTGAGTCCAACCCCAGTTCTCCCTCACCCTCCTGGTGAGGGGGACTAAACCATAACAGCAATAGTGAAACAAAAATAACAAGGTACAATGACTTGCTCTAGAAACAAAAAATAACAATCAAATATTGTCAAAGCTGGTTTTAGCACTGTTTTACACAAACTTCTTGATGCTGTTGTTGATCCAGTCGCTGAAGGCAGACACACAGGTGAACACTGAAGGTTTCTTGTCTCTCATGCAGGCTTAAGGTTCAAAGCCGGTGACATCATGAACCTCAAAGACCTGCGCAGGCAAAAGCACCCTGAAAATCCCTCTGTAGGAGAAGGAAATCAGATTTACTGTACAAGTAAGAAGATGCACAGTTACTATAAATCACCTCTCTGCCATTCAGTTTGTAAAGATCAATTTTTTACCAAAAACCTGAGGTTTCTGGAGGCAAATGTCTGAGCTTTATTTTATAAAACTACTGAGATTCAACGGCCTTCAGTGCTTTTCTGAAGAATTTTTCTATTTTTCAATTCTTTCTATGTGTGCACTTGCATGCTTGCTCACTACAGTTAACAGATAATGCTCCTGTGTTCTTTGTCCTCTCATGCCTGAGGACTGGACAGCCTTTGCAATCAAGGCTGGCTGATCACAAACAAAACTGTTAACAGGCTGTTGCATAAAGGACTACCCAATCATTAGAGACCAGTATATTTATATAATACAGTATGTGTAGTAAAATGTTTGAAGAGAATTTTAACAATCAATTGCTATCCACAGTCATCACTACTTTCTGTAATTACTGTTTTTGTAAAGCTGAATGCAGCCTTTCACCTGGCAGACTGACTTCACCTCCTATCCAGCACAGATCACGGAGTACCTGAGGGTGTCCCACCTGTAAACAGGCTTACTGCAGATATGGAAGTGAATAATATGAAGGGCTACCTGATTTAGCTTCTCTACTGTTCCAGCCTGTGAAAAAGCAGGGAGTCCCAGCAGGCATCACACCCCCAGGTCTGGGCAAACAGATGGGATTGATCTCCTTTGTAATATTGGCAGGCTTTGTCAGATGCACCAGAGCAATGCTGTTGGTGATGTCACTGTGATACGGCTCACACCCCTCATAGCGGATGATACCATTCACATTAGAGCAGGCCTCTGTTGAAGGAACATCCATAGAGGAGTTCATGTGGTGCTTCCCCAGACACATTATCCAGTAGGAGGGTTTATTCAGTGGACTGGAGAACAGATGGAAGATTAATGGAAGATCAGAGGTTGTTTTAATTTTCCCTGCAGCTATTGTACAAGCCGTTAACAGGCAAAAGGAATGAAAGTGTTTATAAAGTGCTGCTTTTTAATGTGCAATAACTGTTTTTTTAACCACTTGGGGGAGCTGAAACTAAATGATCATCACCTTTAAACTGATATGGCAAACCTGTTTGCAAATAGCAGTTTACTTAAACATCCATCCATTCATATGGGGTTGTGTTTCTGGCCAGCTGGTGAATGGATGTTAATTTAGTTTTTGGTCTCTACCAGCTCCAGAGGGAAATATCTTGACTTTAGCTGCTAAATGCTCCACTCTGTTCACCAGCTGTCTGGCTGAAATTTGGTGCTGTGCAAGTAGTGTACAATGGGTTCTCATCTATTTGTTTAATTTTGCTGAAACTAGCTATCTGCTGTGGCCAAAACATTTCTATGAAAACAGTAAAGTTGCGGGTGTGACAGCTAAACAAACAATGAGCTAAAACTCAGCTATAAAGCTGGAGAGAAAAGGAAGTTACACACATACCTAGACTTCCTATTCTGACTTTGAGGCCAACTTTGGTCTTCATGCACAGCAGACTCTGCTCCGGTGAGAAAAATGGAGGCAGACGGTTAGCCAATGGCCACCTGGATCCTCCACTGGCAGTGGACTTTGTTGCTGTAGCTGGCAGGGAAACCCACAGAGGATAAGATGCAGACTGTGCAGTCAGGTCCTTTGGCTCTTCACAGCCAGATGCTACACAGGGAGGACAGAGGGGGAAAACCAAAAATATAAGCACTGACTTTGTACCGTGTTTAGTTTTTGAGCAAAGTGGGTCACTTCTCACTGTAGAGGTCTCTGTGGATGATCCAGGGCAGGTACTGTAGGCAGAGAAGTGGATGAATACAGAGGGTTTCTTACTCATAATGCATCTAATGAGGCCAAAGCAGGTTATTCCATGAATTTCCCAAGGACCACCTGAGGCATCTGGGCACACCAGAGGGCCACTTGAATGTTCCTGTCAAAGTCACAAATCAAAATTAAATCACATATGCATGAAAAAAATTCTTCTCACTGATAATCAGAATGCTGTAAATAAATATATTAGTCCTCTGCCTTGGTAGAACTTTATCTGACAGGTAAACTTGAGCTCATCAGAATCAAATGTATTACTTGATAAGCGCATTGATAAATTGTTTTAAAAACAAATGAGGTGTTCATGCCTTATATCCAGCAGAGGGCAAGCAACAATACATTTTTAACAGCACAAAAATATGAAGATGAATGACACCTGAGGTGGATTATTGCATTGTTTCAATTGATAAACTATCGTCTTAAACTAGTTTCAAAAGGTAAGACTAAAGATTTAGTTAAACATATAGATGTGAAATGCATGTGTAATCTTCCAACGAACATGAAACTCAAAACACACCAGTTTCCCCTGCCAATGGCATAGCGCTTCTTGCCCTCAGGAAAGTCTTCTTCCTCTGAAGGAAGGCAGGCATAAGAGATCTCATCACTGATCCCCATCCAGCTTGACCAGGGCAATGTCAAACCCTAAAGTGAGCACTGTCGGATAACTGAAGCCCTCATGGGGATACATAGACACAATGAAGTACTTGGCACTGTGTAGTTCAGGTTGTTTGCCAAGGCACATGTGCCAACGCTACAACTCATCACCATACCTGGGTAAGAAATCAGCAGATGAATCAATGATAATATATCACAATTTACAGTAAAGACAGTGTACAGACCCCCTCAACATACTGTATGTTACTGCATCATACTGTTCAAACTGACAAGATATTGGCACAGTACTTTGTTCAGTTGTTATAGAACATGGCTGTGATACAGCAGATGTGGCAAATTTCTAAGTATACATCCTACTCAAACATGATATCATGCACAGGCTCCACAGCACAGGGCACTGTAGACCATTAGCCAGGGCACTGAGGCATTTATAACAAGGCATTGCTCCTCCACTGTAGTATGCCTGAGGTGAAAGCACTGTCTTCTGAGAATATGCAAATAGGCTTCAAGGATGTCTGAGAAAACTTTGTGCAAAAAACCTTTGTGAAAACTTTGACATCAAAAACCTGACCTACTGGTCATGCTCTAGCACCTTGTCAAAAAACACAAGGAAAAGCATGCCATGGACTCTTTACAATAAACAACTTGAGCAGCTTTCATTTTAATGTTACAGAAATAATTTTACATGCACTTATGTGAAGATGGGAGGAACAGAACATTTAATATATGAAGCACTGGACTGCTGTAAGCATTCGGATCCTATGAATAAGTGTACCACCACTGGTGTGGAAAAGTGTGGGCTCTGAATGACTGCCTGGCCAAACCTGAAGCAAACCCAGTGCCTGAGAGCGGCGCAGATTCTTGAAACCTTCCTCCCCAAAACCGCAGTTCATTACCAAGTCTACACCAAACACCATTCTCCTCTCATACACTGAGGGCGGGTCCTAGCTAGTGAAATCATTTTTATTTCTTTCTCTTTTATGTGAATTCTTTTCATTTATTAGTGGAGTGCCTCTTCTGTATGGACACTTGCCAGGACCAGCAGCGTGGCCTGGCTGACTCTCCATTAACAATGCGTGACACAACAACAGGAGAAATGGCTGCTTTCCTACATGCTCAGCCAGTCTAGAAAATGAGGAAACAACTGTAAAATATCCTGTTTGCTGTCTGATCATGTATGAATTGGTTTGTTTGTGCTTTGTGTATCTGAATATACAGCACATATCTGTAGCTAACAGATAAGCCCTTGTGTTGCAGGAAAGTGGCTTTCACTCACTGGCTCTGGCACTCCGATTCATATTTGTAAAATAATTTTCCAACCTCACCCGGTTGACATTGCTGGCTGAACTGCATCCCTCTGTTTTTGGCTTTCATTAATTTACTGGTCTGCAGTAATGTATTCAAACACAATACCATGCTTCTGCTACAAACAAACAATGGGTCTTGAATTAGAAAATGCATCACAGGATGCATAAAATGTTCAGTTATTTTGGACATCCAAGGATTTAATATCAAACTGTCCCAGTCACTCTTATCCCACATTTTCTCCCATTTTCCCTTCCTTCTTTCACCTCTGGTGACCAGGTGGGAAAAACCATAAACGCAGCAACATCTATAACACTCTTATTTCAGCAATTGGTTTGGCAAGAGCCTGGGCCATCTGGGGCTCATTGCTAGGTGAAAAATGGGAATTGGGTGACAGCCACTAGGCACTAGGCCACTTCATATTGTGCTTTAACACACAAAATCAGCTTGTTTTCCTACACATCTGGGCACAACAAGGAGGAGATGGGGGAGGGGGGTATGAAGAAGTGGTGAGGATGGGAGGAAACATGAATCGGATGAATATAGGCTAGGCCTCTGCATAGCTTCTGCTGTCTGAAAGTAAACGTTGGTAATTGGTGATAGAAGACTACTGCTCGGATAACCTGAAGATGGTGTATAATGTACAGTAGCTAAAAAAAATCTGTAAATCAGGAAAAAAAAAACCAAAATATCAAAGACTACACTGAACATGTAATAAAAATAGAGTGTTTCCCATCTGACACTTAAAATACATGTAGTTAGGGCAAAAAGATAAAGGAGTTTTATCTTGCTTTGTGTTTTACACTGTACTCTGACCCGTGCTTTGACACCATTCCCACTTCTTAGCTATAAACTTTGCTGCTTATATAAATACATGACACAGGAGTGTGATGTTTATATAGTTAGTCTTAATGAGGTGTTGAGCCGCTTCAGCAAGTGTGCCTCAAGTGTGAGTGTTGCCTGCTCTTGCGAGTGGATCGTCGTCAGTACAGTACCTGCAATATCCTCAGGATACACAGTCTCCCACATGACGGAGAATTCTTGGCCTGCGAGGCAACTGTCAGACTAGGAGGTGACAGATTTTGTGCCACTAGCACTGACCAGCACTGGGGTAAGAATGGCGCCACAGTGTGTGCCTGAAAATGACGGAGAATATGGACAGAGATAAAGGATGGAGGCAGAAAAGAGTTGAGCATAAATGAGGGGATGGTTCAAAGATATAGCTAAAGTAAATATGCATTATTCAGTGTACATACTGTAAGTGTGTGTACGCAGAGACACCAACAAATGATGGTGTCAGGGAATGTGATAGAATATTATTTACAGTGCACAAAATCAGGTGCCAAATCAACACTGTTCCTGCCAAGAGCCTATCAGCATTAAATATAACACTAAGCATTTAGGTAAGCTTACATTACTGCCAGAAATTGTTTTTCTTTGACTACTTCCCACCAGGTGGCGCCACAGTGGACTCACATGATCCACATGTTTAATTTGACACATCTTCTACCCCGTCTCCTGAGGGTGCCCAGGTACACTTCTGACATAAATGTAGTTAACTGTGCTGTGCAGTACATTACACAAAACCCCTCACACATACTATAAAACAAAACATTCAGTGACTAATTTTACATTTTAATCACTATTTGCTCAGAACATTTAATTTTGCAAACTAATGAACATGAATATTATGAGCACTACAAGAGGATAATTTGTGATATTTAATTACTGCCCAGCCCCACTCTGCTGACACATAAAGACATACTTTTAGTTAGCTTTAAGTGCTTATGTAACCTTTGCCAATGATGGCATAGCAGCAATTACTAAAGAAAGAAAAGGTAAATCTCATCAGCCATCATAAAGTTCTGGTCACACCAGACCTATAGTGGCAAAACCAAGAGTGGAGGTAATGTCGGCTCTTGTGTAAACATATGTTTTGATTTGTGAAAAGAAAATTGTGTTATTCCCTCTTTAATCAGTCAGACAGGCTCACTGTTAGGAGTCTTTGAGGCTACTGATACATACATATGGATGGCAGAATTTATGGGTTTGGAATTCTAAAACAGACCTTCTTCCTCTCATTTCTGCTTTCCATTTCTCTCTCTGCTTTGCACACTAACACACCACCCTTCAACTAACAGCACACACCACTAAAACTCCCAACACCTATCTGCATGTGTTGCACAGGCAGTGTGTGTTTGCACCTCAGTGTTTTATCCTTGAGAACTCAGCAAAAGATAAAGTTGCATCAGCCTTACTACAGCCACTGAAGGGAATAATAAGCAGAGGCAATTTATAGGTTTACAGGCTGTTTGCAACATAGATCCTAATCAACAGTTTTACAATGGGGACAGATATTGATACATACGGTAAACTGCTGGCTAAGCAAAGTAGACTAAACACAAGCCAAATTCCTCATATGTAACGAGGGCTGGTTTGCTCTGCTTAGCTTAGCGCCTCACCACCAAATACCTAAATGCAAAAAGAAGAGTTTATAACCTCTACTCCACATTGGCTGCCATTCTAATGATGACAGATATGGCTGATAAAGATTAAGTAAGTTAAAACACAAATAAACTAAATGTCAGACTCAATATTTCACAATAATATAATAATAACAAAAATAATTAGGTATCATTAATGTACGATGTATAAAAGATTAAGCAATGACTCACCTAGAATGCTTTAATCATCTGAAACAACCAGTTTATCCTCTTTGCAGTGTCCAGTCTGTCCCGTGATGGCCATTTCAGTCATTTGCAGTTTAAGAATCCATAGGGCACAGATATCCTTCAAGAACTGTTTAGATGAGCAGGATGTGGATCTGGAAAACCCAAGGTTTGGATCACTCCTATACTCCCATCTAGGATTACTGAAAAGCCACTCCCTGCCCAATAACAACATAGGAAGTAATGCTGAAAACAGTATTTTACCATATGCACCCCTCGAAAGATAGAGTGTCTGTCTGGAAACTGGATCAAAAGCTATGTTTGCTATGTGTGTGTGTATCAATTGATAAGGACCAGCTTGCTTTGATACAAAACTGCCCATGAATGGTTCATTATGTAGTACCTTAATTAGTCACAGGAGAAAACCAGACTGTCTGCCAATAGCTTTAATACAGTGATGAGTAGATAAACCACAAGAGGGGTCTCCCCACTCCGACACAGAGAGCTACTTGCATCCATCCTTATTTGGTAGATGTAACCAGATTAGAGCTGTGTCTGTGGTCAAGAAACAACCCTCATGGATAATGTGACAACATGGATAATGATGTTATAGTTTACAGCACATCAGTAATTTTCAAGAGATAATTGATTACAGTTTTGCAGTTTAACTCTGATAAAATAGCTCCAAAGCCTGCAAAAAAAGATGTT